CCAGCGTCGGTCTACCTGCTCGCCCCTCGTCTCCCGAATGGGACTCAAGTACCGGTACCGGTAATTGTCCGTTAGGTTACCCAAAAGAATACAAAAAATACCAGTTCAGAACCATGCCAAATTTACATACACCGATGTTTCGGCAGCTAAATTATTCGTATTCGATTGAAGTAAAAAAAAAACAAAGTTTCCCATACAAAAAGCGCCAAGTCCTAATGTCACTTTTGCTCTTTGGTCAATGAACATCCCAGAAAATGAGAATACGGTATTTATTTGCGATGATCCGGAAGAGAAAGACCCAAGGAGTTCTCTTGCATAATATGTTGGTAAATTCTGGGTCTTATCGATGGAATAAACGTGGGTGTTATAATCTTGTCAAAATCTGATAGAGTTCTGCTGCTCATTGGCCATGATACATTCTGGAACATTAGTCGGAATCGGTACCCATTGCTGTCATCCGATCATTCCAAACCATTCATAACCGAGAGTCCTGACAAGTGCTCTCACTCCAGGTCCTTGAAAAGCTGTATGATACCAACTTTTATGGGGAGCCCCAAGAGAAGAAGAAAACTTCACACTTCTCCCCTTTCCTATTTCCTTTTCTAAAATCACACCCGCACCAGAAGTGAACTTGCTCAATGACTTTATATTGTATGTGTATTTGCAATAATTAACAAGTAAGCAAAGGAGCAGCAGGCAAGGAGAAAAGTAAATAATATTATATTAGAACATGACTTCCATTATTAGACCTATTCTACATCTTGGATTTCCAAATCAATATCCTAACACTACTTCCTACTTCCTGAAAATAAACAACTAGGATAAATATAGTCTTGGTAAAGTAAATCTATGTTATAGAAAATAATATAAATTTACAGTACCATGGCTTCTCTTTTGAGATTTATATCACCATACAATTATGCAGATTACCAAAAGGTAATGCATGAAAGGAAGTGACTTTCTCCTATCTATACTAGAATATGCTCTTCCACCTGCTTACCTGTATTTCCATCTCACTTATTAAATATTTTTCTCCTGTTTGAATTAGTAAATACTCTTCCACCAACTCACCTATAATTCTACCACTTCTGTTAGTAAATATTCTCCCATCTACCTATCTATATTTCCTTCCCACCAGTACTTTGTTTATAAAATGTTAGTTGTAGTATTATGGAATGATATATGTGGTATTGTATCTGGTGTCATGTAGTATTGTATGTAGTGCTGTATAGTATTATATATGAGAGAAGATAAAGTGAAAGAAGTTAATAAGGAAAGAAGAGATGGAGGGAGGTTATGGATTCCCCTATATAGGACTCTCTAAGCCAAGCACATAAGAAAATAGAATTTAAGTTAACTTGTCTCTGTTTTGGAGAAAGGAAAATGACTGGCCTTTTATTGATACATCATAAAATTATATTGTATTTCTAAATACATTATAGAAAAGATGTCTATTTATCATATATGATACACCTATGAGTTTTACTTTGCTTTTGATTTTGATTTTTTTTATCTCAAATGAAAACCTAGTAGAAGTTATCAAAACATTAACATCAGCAACAAATCAATAATCAAAAAAGACCAATGAATATGGTGAAATTCTGTGAATTTAGTTTCTGATAATTATCATATTACGAGTATGATATTATATGTACCGAGACTTGGTAGACGAAGCAAATCCAACAGTGATTAATCATAGAGCCACTCACCATACTACTGTTATCGATCAAGCACAGTACAAGTACCGCAAAAAAAAAAAAACTCAAACACAGTATGATAAGAGCATATCAAATTCTACAACTCGTCCATTCCTCCGAGAATCCCCCACCTACAAACATATCCCATCCATATCACCTTAGAGCGAAGGCACCCGGGCCTACTCGAGTACTCTATCTCTCGCCGAGAAAAAAAAGGAAATAATAAAAAGGAAAAATCCAAGCTGCCCTCCCGCCCCCCGCCCTGGCACAACACGATTGGCGGGTTGTAAATCCCTACCAACGCCGTAATTTTTCCAACTATCCAAGATTACTAATTGACAACAATGAGTCTTTTTCAAATGTCTAAGAATCCTTAGCCTGTGAGTTCCAGATGTAATTAGCGCCAGGCCCCAACAGAAATGGATGCCAAAGATGCTGTGATCGAGCCCGAGATTCTTCATAAAGAAATAAGCTGCCTAACTGTTGTTACCAACGACCTGCTTAAGATTTATCGCCATTTTACAAAAAAGACACGAATCGCAACCAGAAACTAGTAGAACTGGAACCATAGAGCGAGTCCTACAAATACCCATATTATATCGACCAATACTCAATCATTCCCTTCGCCTGACCGCGACCTTGTCAGGTGAAAAAACAAATATCAAAAAAAAGAAAAGAAACTTAAGCCCCACGCGGGGGTCGAACCCGCAACCTTGAGATTAAGAGTCTCACGCTCTACCGATTGAGCTAGCGAGGCTTGTTTAATGTTTGTTCAAAATTAAAAGATTTCTACCTAAAACACAAATTTTATCAAGCAAATCCCAGGAGATTTTTAAGTGAAGACCCAACCCCTCGGCGTGGTGGTGTTTATATGATATCATGAGTCCATATGACTAGATCCAGCCCACCGTATCATATCATACCATTTCACCGAGGCCCACCATATACCTTTCCCCTAACCCAATCCCTACATAGCGGCCTCTTATCCAAGGGACAATCGGTGCACACAAACCCGTATGATAAGAATTTCTGAGCAAATTGCGCAGATCCGATCACACACCGTCACTCGCCATCAACTCCGGATACCTTTCTCGGAAATCTACACGGGGAATCACTGGCATTGCACAAAAGGCGCATAGCCAGCAGAATCCGTCAGATTTTTGATCTGAGCTGGTGGAGCGGACGGGATTCCGTAATAGGAGGTCACGAAATACCTAATAGTCTATCCGCCACGCCCTCAGACGTGGTGATGTGGGGGTGGTTGCGATACTGGAATTGAACATGTGAGGTTTCAAGCCGGGTACCTCCGAGGAATGTTCTATAAATTTCTCAATCCTCGCATGGCATCACCGTGGAGCGAAGGCTGGCTCGGTTGTTAATCGGAGGTAATGCCGGGAGAACGGTGACTATGTTATGGGATGGGAAGGCATAAGCTTTTCTCGGGAAGGCTGTGCATTACCGGGCCTCTGCACATTTCTTCCCCCCCGATGGCCCGCTCCCAAGCGCGAGTGTGATTACAACGGGGAGCGGAACCTATCACAGAACTACTACTATATAGACCCTTTCCCGCGCACCTTCCACCCTGGAAGCTCCAACTATCTATAAACCAGTACTTCCGCTCTGTGGAAGGTACAGTGCCCTCGCACGATATTCCCAGAGGTATCATACTCACGGGCTTTTTCATATTGCGTTCCCCACTATCCAGCCCCCACCGATACACCCAAGAGCGAGAAAATGACCATCCAAGCGCATTAGTGACCATCCCACTCAAGGAGGTCACCACTAACACAACTTTACTCAAGTCAAATCCGAATTATGTAAACTTACACATTGCTCATCCGGCTAGTTCAACCTATCATATCAAGATGCCGGTATCGTATTTCACAACGTCACCCAGTCACAAAGCGCACAAATCCCGGAAGCGTTTCACGGGCCGGGCTGCCCTTTAGCAACCGTGAAGACGGGAAACCTATGATAATTCAATGGAATGAAAAAATCGATCTAGGCTTCCGACTATATAACCCACCATTCCTGAAAAGAGGCAGAAGACGAACTCCAATTTCAGACAAGCTCAGCCGACAAAGAAAGACCCTTTGTGCGAGAGTAGAGCATTCACACACTGGCTCGAGGAGGTCGTTCCTTCGGCACCCGTTTCTCCGAGAGGGAAATAAATCAAGTCTTGCTGATATATCTTGCGAACACTATGATACCACCACGCACAGTGGCAATGCGCACCCAATACTTGAGTACTTCCGCAGCCACCTCCACATTTCCTATCCAGGCCGAAACAGACAGATACAATCCCAGCTCTGCGAAAAAAGTCTGCATACTGTATGTAGAAAGGCCACTGAGAAACGTATCCTATCCCGCCGCGGGGGAGTGACGCCAACGCCCACTTTCGGACCTATCGCCCTTCGTGAGGCATGGCTATAGCTGTCCGCCATCCCCGGTTATTCGTCATGTCGAGTCGGCTCGGTCATATGATAGTATCGTAACTGCCCAAAGTGCTGCGAGAAACCTGCAATCCAAAAGAAGTGAAGAAGAAGTAAGTTAGGGTTTACAAGTCAATGTAGCGCAGGCCAGCAGAATGGACGAGTATCATCCCTTGGAACAGACCAAATTACTCAAGACCTGGCTCTTAATAATGTGCCGCGCAGCAAGTATAACAGCCAATCACGAAGTATCACTTCTCGACCAGAGTGCACCCCGGCCGGTCCCATTATCACGGCTCTCGGGGGGTGTAAGTTAAAAAAAAGGGCAACACAGCGATGTGTGCCATCATTCCAACATCACAACCAGTCCAACCCTCCAAGCAGACAGTCACAAAAAACCTCATTATTCCACTAATATCAGCAATCGCACATATACCGTACAACATCCCACTCACACAACAATGTGAAAGAACGAGGCAAGAAAAATCAGTGATAGAACCCACAACCACCACCTCTCAAGATCAAATAACGTCGTGTTTTAGCATCCTGCTTCTGTCAAGATGCTCCGAATCTGCCCAGTACTGTGCAAGAGTGAGTGCCGTATGTGAGTTGTATTCGATTTAATCCAACCCGTTCAGCTATTTCCCCACTTGGGAGTTGGGGAGATGGCATAATTACGATTGACTACCAGCAGTGGGTACTGTACAGTACAGCACAATAGAGAAAGACCATTAGGTATGATATGTTAAACCCCACGACACATCCACTCACCAATCACCCACAGAGCTTACACACCAATACCGGTATCATACCGTTGCCATAGCAAATGCGCAGTTTCATTGAGTCATCCATCCATCCAATCGATCGGTCAATCCCACGGAGACTAACCCAACTTAACTACAATCCAGAGGGTTCAAAAAGTAGAATGAGAAAAGAAAAAAAATATGATGAAAAAAAGAACCCAACTCCCGATTCCCATCTAAGAAATTAAAGAACACGAACAAAGGAAAAAGAGAAAAAGAAAAGGCAACGTGCAATCCCCACCAGCATAACTGGGAGACTCCTTTTTTTCATACATGTGTGAGTTTTCGCCATCAGTAGTTTTACACATAAGGCAACTCACGAATTATGGTGCCAAGAAAATGAGAGAAAAACAGACGAACAGAAAACAAGATACACAGTATCCAGCGCCAATTTTAATGTGGCTGGGGAGGAAATGAGGGAGAAGTAGACAAATCCCCTGCGGAAATGATAGCTGTGGGGAGCAAACAAAAACAAAATGACATTTCCGGAGAAGCGAGAAATAAACCTTTTTTTTGTGTTTCATCATCACTTCAAATCAAGGAGAGTAGAAGAAAGGAAGAAAAGAAAAAAGAGATGGCAAGTAAAGGACTATTATTATACCTTCTTGAAAGCTAGCGCGTTTATCGTTTTTGATGGCAGAAAGAACGGGACGGTTGAGGGGAAAAAATCAGACGCGACTAGCACACCCACCACACGTAACGACCCAGTACCTATTACAATTCTCGCAAAGCCAGACCTCCCTACCGCAACCTTCGCACAAACCCCTTGGCCCATCTAGCATTGCAATCCTACGTCCAGGCCTACCAGCCGCAGCCCCACTACCGGTCCTACCTCCCGGGGAGTTATTGCGACGCCGAGGTCCGAGCGAGACTCCTATGCCTGGGGCTGGCTGATTTTGGTTGTGAGTTTGCTGAGGGGGGGGAGGTATAGCAGGGTGATGGAAGTGGTTATGCATATTTGCTTGGGCCATTGGTTGCTGCTGTTGGGCAAAGTTGCTTTGCGCAAAGATGTTTTGGTGGTTGTGGGGGATCTGAGGTAGAAATCCACCAACGCCAGTGGCTGCTGGGGCTATGCCTCCCCCTGGAGAGCTGGGGTCTGCTGACGTCGGGCCGAAGGGTGGCGTGCTGGCTTGAACTGCTGCCATCAGGTCTAGAAGGGCGGTGTTCATTCCATCACCTGGACTCGCGTTCGCCACGTCGCCAGGGGTGTTGGCTGGCTGGGCGGTAGCTGTCGCGGATGGGCCCGCGGCCGGTGTATCTGGTGAACTATTCGGAGAGAGCACACCATCGGTCGCGGGGCTCGGAGTCAGGGGAGGCTGCCCCTGCTGTTGGCCAAGCGTTGCGGGATCGTCTGGTGCTCCTGTCCCGCCCCCAGTGATTATCTGTGATGCCGCATCGGCGACAGCTGTTAGGCCTTGAATACCATGCAATCCCGCTATCTGCGATATGTGGGCTAGCGCGCTAGTATTTGGCATTGCACTCCCCTGGTCATCAAGTCCATAATGTGTTAGAAGATGACGCTGTATAAGTGACTGTTGAGGACGAAATAATGAAGCGCCCGTGCTCACCACCGCACCCAGACCATACTGTGCAGGATCCTGTAGAAACTGTCCAGCAGACCACCCCTGAGAATTGCTTGGAGCGATACCACCCCCACCTCCAGCCACCCCTCCCACCGCAGCTCCACCTCCGCCACCACCGGGACCAACGTTGAGTGCATTACCTTGGCCTTGGCCCAGGCCTGGAGCAGCCAAAAGTTGGGCTGGGGCTACTGGCGCTGGAACATTCTGCTGTTGCTGAGGTTGTTGGGCTGTCGGTGGGGCTGGGATAGCATGCCTGGGAATCCTAAATACCCTTCCATCATCTAGGATAAGTATACGCTCGCCCGGAAGTCTTGGTAGAGGGTAGTGATAGGTCTTGCGCGGGTTCCTGGATCCATTATTATGATGAGAACTATCCCCCGCCATGCCGGCGGCGGCACTGCTGCCAGACGCCTGTGAAAGATTCTCCGTCTGGTTGTTTGGGTTAGAGGCTAAAGTGGAAACATCAAATTCGTCATCATATATAAAGTGCGTCTCCTCGCCCTCAGCATGCGAGAGTCTCCACCTTGAATTATCAAAACTAGTAGCGCAGCCCGCACCCTGGCAGAAGAGCACATCGACATCAATCCCCAGACATCCCGCAATAGAATTCAGCCCTCCAACATTTCTCCCGAATGGACACTCTTTAGCATATTGCCATTCCTTTTTCCCTCTATACTTCTCAGGAGGGTCCACGTATAGACCAGCCACATTAGCTAGCTCAAGCCGTCTCAACGATAAACATGGGAGCCCAAACTCCTCGAGCTCTTCGACAGTCGCGGGAAGCGGAGAGGGGACAGTACTAAGATCCTCATTCTGTTGTTGTGCTTGTGCTTGCGCCTGTGCATGGACCTGGGGGTTTTGCTGGATAGCAGCAAAGCCCGCATTGTTAGTTGCCGCACCCGCGTTACCCCCGTTTTGCTGCTGCTGAGCCGCTGCAAGCTGTTGAGTAGCCTTCAACCTCAATTCCCTCCGTTTGGGAGCGGTCACAACAACGAGGATCTTTTTAAGAAACGAGTTTATCTCCCCAATTTCAACCCCCGGGCAACCGGTCACACACAACTTCTCAAGACGCAAGGACTGATCAGCGAGTAGCCTGTATGCGCCCCCTGATATGGACTCAAACTCCTTGGAGAAGAGCCCTGTTCTACTGGTGTAGGTATCATGTTCCATCTCGTTTGTCGGAGCTCGATCCAAGGATCTATCGGGAAGAAGTCCAGGGATCTTTCCACCAGCCGTGGCAGCGATGAGGAGCTTGACAAGCCTGGTGGTTATACCGGTTCCGGACAGGTCGATGCTATTGAGGAACCTCCAGGCACCAACATACCCCTTCTCTAAACCTCCAGAAACAGTTACCGTACGGCCATCTTCAAGCAGCCGACGTCTACTATTTATCTGAACGCCCCCAAGTGGACGATACAGGAACTCAATGATATGCCTATTCTTAACATGCGCAAGGTCTGCGAACGATAGTTTGCGAGCAGAAAACGGATGCAGGGGGTTGACAAGCAGGTAGGTTTGGCGAGAAACAAGTAAAAGGGAGAGTATATCATTCATATGCTCAAGGGCCGGAAGAATGGATTCAATGATCACGGGATTGGAGAGGATCTCGGGCCCGCGGGAAGAAGCAGACGAAGCGATCTCCATTTCGTCCATGGCCCAAGCGCGATGGACTTGGAGAGAAAGATGGTCGAAGAGATGAACTATGGACGCCGTGGCGACGGGGTATGGGCGGGTAAAACAGCGGGCGGCCCGTGTGCGGATGACTGTGGGAAGAGGGAGGAGGGACTGTAGACTAAAGATCAACGACAATAGATGGAGGGGGATGAATGGGGGCGGGCTGTATACGCACACCGTGATGAATGTCTCGTAGGCGCGTTACCAAGCATGCAAGATAATAGCGCAGAACACTGTACCGGTACCCCTTCAACGCTATGGATAATGCGCAATCGGACAGCACTTGTGGAAGGAAGAGAGCTCAGTCGACGAAGAAAAGACGGTCTCGCAACGGGTGAGGCTCGGATGACCGGTGCGGTGCGGGACCAGCAAAACCTAGCCAGGCAGGCGTAGTTTAGCAGCACGAGGGAGAAAAGAGCCTTTTCTTTTTTTCCCTTCTTTTTCTTTCTTTTTTCCCTTTTTTCCTCTCGCTGCTGTAACACAACAGAGATAGCTCAGCCCTCGGCCGTTTTATTTTACTGGTATGATAAGTCCGATGAAGCGAAGATGGAAAGGGAAAAATGGGAAAAATGGGTTCGGGGCGTTGTAGCTTTTGGGAGAAGGTTTCGGAGGAGGGTACTCTGATGCCTGCCGGAGATCTTGAAGCGCGGCAGGCTGGGGACGGTACCTGGAAGGAGGTACACAGGCAGTTCTGCTGACCCCGTGCGGTGCGGGGAAGCAAGGCAATGAACGAACTGTGAGGGCTGCAAATACACACACCAAATGTCACCGTAAAGGCAGCAACAAAACTAACACCCCGATTCGACAAAGTGAAGATGTGTTCGTGAATGTATATATTACAGGTATCGTAAGCAATCATAGACACGAAAAAGTCTGTTGGAGTTTTCTATTCCAGTTTTTAGGCCACGGCAGAATCTATTGCCAAGACCACCACCACCCAAGAAAAAAATCCCCTCCACACTGTGATCCAGTGATTACACGATCCGCCAAGACGGTGAAAAAGGCCAAGTCATCACCCAAATTTATCCGGATGAGGAAATAGAGGGACCGGAAGCGGAGGCCAATTTATCACCTATGCTTCCCTTTTCCATCACGCTTGACAGGTGCCCGCCTGACGACAAAGAGTGAAGCTATGATGGCATCGCAATACGACTTGGCAACAAAAGAAAGCGATACCGCCTGGCTTTTCCTTAAATCACAAGATGCGCAAGTTTCGCCAAACACCGCAAAGGTGGACAGCAAATCTTCCTCTCCAAACAGCAACCACATGGAGGAGGATCACAGGGGTTTTGACGCAAAAAATTGCCATTCTTTTTCTATCCCACCGAACACTGGCAATGAGTAAATGGTTGAAGGTATAGTACAGGGTAGTCTAGCCGGTACGGTTGTCACGTACCGGTACTTGTAGAAATCCCCGTACAGATTGCCTATCTTGGCGGTGTTTTTGGGCTATCATCCTATTGCAGCGTCCTTTTCCCCCCCAGAACTCTAGCGCTCAGAATTTTTAGATGTTGGAGCCCCAAAACCCCCTAGACTCATCATAGTGGGCACTCTACGAGTACCCCGAGATCCGGCGGATACGAGTAGTCTACTCCTTCAGATGGTGACAAGGTGGGAATGGTGTGCCCCAGAGACGTGCCTCAGCGGCCACTTTCCAATCTCGCTTCGTGCAGTGACTGAAGCGATTGATATGATTGATATCATATCTCGGGGATAGACTACGAGTATCACATCTCGTCGAAGGAGAATTTATTGGTGCCGTTTTGTATACCCGAGATAGTCTACTAGACTACCGGTACAGTATCACCCGTCCCTTATCTCTCCCCCTCTACCGGTATCTCCTCCCTCAACAGACCGTTCCGCGAATATAGCAGTATAGCTACACACGTACTGTCTTTATTGTACGTATTCGACACTCCCCGAACAGCTCATCTAGCAGCGAAAGCAAGCCCAGACACAACCCCCCTTCACGAGAGACACACACGCGGACAGCCAGCTCTACGAGTACGATACAGTATCCGCCCCTTCTTTACATAACTTTACCCCGAGGCGCGGGAGGGGGGATATGGGTGGCGATGCAGAAGCGGTTCCTCCAATCTTTGTCCACTCTACGGTATCTTTTACTCCAATTCTGATCCTACCCGAGGTAGAGAATAACAGTAAAGGGGACCGGGAGATCCTCGATACGATAAATACAACGCATCTTTGAACTACAGAAGGCATTGGCAGAAGGACCTCACGCTAATCTTATGTGGTCCAAATGGCGATGATAGCGGTCCAGAGTCCCGGTAGTGTACAGGTATGGCATTATTGCACCAGTAATACTCGTAGTCTAAGAGTAAACTCCCGTAAAGGGCGACTCACCGTAGAGCACCGCACCGCTATCCCTCATTCGATCGCCGTGACCACGTTATCGTGCAGTGAGTTAACGGCAGGGCTGTCAATCCCATCATTTTATTTCATTTTTTTCAACAGAACAACCAGCCAGGTCCCCCACCACACTACCGTACCACATCAAAATATCGTGGCCTTAAACTGAGCCTGAATCGGAGGTGTGAAAGAGGCATCTTGCATGATGAGCCTGTCCCATTCAGAAGCCCAACCCTCCCTTGAGTTACATACAGTACCGTACTGTACGGTAGACTATATGTCTGTCTGCGAGGACCAGCTGGTTTTGGAGCCCCACCTGGGTTAGAGGGTAGGGTGTGTGATAGGTCAGGAACGACCAACTTTCGCTCTTACGGTCGCAGTTTACGGTACCGCACCCGTACGGTTGTAGGTTTCCAAGATGGGTGCTTGCCCAAGTTGGCCGGTTGTCACTTCCTCTTCACTCTGTACTGTGTGGTGTGTGGCAGGTGGTTGCTCCCTGCTCGCCGTCGCCCAACAACCTGCGAGCTGCTGCAACCAAGCAATGCCCATTCGCACCAAGCGAGCATCTGCACAAGGCAGCCCAGCTCCTCCCCATCCACATGATGGGTCAGATCGGATTGGGAAGGGGAAGGGTAAGGGGAAGGGGAAGGGGAAGGATATCATCATACCGGTACATTCCCATACAGTAATGCAATCTACTTGGGTCTAGGGCATAGTGTGCGAATCTGTGTTATGATACGGATATCAATTATGTTTCGTTTATCGCTCCCTCAACAGATTAAGATAGAGATTCTCTCAGTAAGCCGGCCAGGCCAGACGGGCCGGTCAGTTGGGAATTGGCTCGCTCCCCATTCGCCCACTCCCTTGGTGACATCTGGGGTAGTCCAGCGGTCCAGCGTGCCCCTCCTTCGTCTCTCCTCAAATATAGCAGTGGTACTCCCGTTCCTTCTCCCTCCCCACATCCTTCTCCCGCACCGCAGCTACGCACAGCTAGAGTACAGCACGAGCACAGTATATACCGCACACACCGGTACCATACATACCCTCCACCGTGACACACATTACAACGACGTCCTCCTGCGCCCGCCCGCTTACGAGGAGACAGTTCGTTCGACCTCGAAAGAGCTCCCTCTGCACAGCGTGCCGGTACATCATTTACTACTCACTCCTTCGCTGTCGTCATTTCACCGTCCTTTATTCGTCAGAACTACCGGTACTGTACCCTATTTCTCCCCCATCGTTTACCGTTTCCCCTGATCGGTGCAGCAGGGCGAGTGTGCGGGGGAGCGAGAGAGAGAGAGAGAGAGAGAGAGAGAGAAGCCGCTTTCCTTGCTCTTCCTTCATTCATTCATTGCTCAGCTAAGCTTAGCTCGCTCCCGCCTACGCCTTGACGCCCCTCCTTTCCATCATTCCTGCCCCCCACTCAGGTCCCCCCCCCCCCCGAGCTTGCTGCCACCACAACTACAAAATCGATACAAACCCCCCTTCTCCCCCTCCTCTCTTTTAAGCCCTTCTTCTGCACTGCAATATCCTCGAATATAAGGAAGAGCCAGAAAGAGACCCTTAGCCATCACCCCTGCCTTGCTCATTCTTTCTCCATAGTCCCGACTTTATGCCCGTGTTCACTGAACACTTCAAGAACTCCCGCCAACAGCAACAAAATAGAACCTCGTCGACTATCTCGCAAGCTTCAAATCCTGTGCCTATCGCTGTGCGAGCTTCAACCATCTCATCTACACTAGGAGGTGGGAGCGCGTTTGGTTCGTCGAGAGCTCAGATATACCCCAAAGAATAGTCTGTGCTCCCAATCATTTCCATTGACTCATCCATTCCCTCCCTTCTCTCCTTTTCCATTGAGCAAACCGTGATATGTCATAAACAACTCTTGTTCCCGCCCCCCGTTAGTCACACATCCTACCCCTTCTTCTCGCTCTCCCACTCATATAATCACTCATACCCTTCCTCTCGAGCGTCTACTCATACCCATCAAGGTCTTTCTTTGTCCATTTGTCTGCACCCACAGCCCATCTCACTATCCCCCCTCTACCCCCTCTCTTAGAGGTAGAGAGGGACCCACTGTATTCTTGAGATATCGAGTGCTAATATTAGGTTGTCATGTCACGTAGCGGTATTAGCCGCAATTCAGCTCCAAAGTCTCCTCATTTCTCCAATACCACTTCTCCCCTCCTCTCCGCTCTTCAGACCCCAGGGGAGCTGCTATCACGTTCTATCCCGTTCCCCTCCTTTCTTTCGTCTTCCACACCATCCACCGGACCTCCGAACAGTCTTGGTTCTGCATCCGGCGGCGTAGGATTGGGTGTAGGTGGCACGTCACCACCTCCGAGTGCACCAGCATCGTATAGCTCTGGAGGAAATTTTGGCGCTGCACGTCAGGTGCGTGGGTACCCGGGATTTGAAGAACAGTACTCGCCATACCATGGGCATGGGGGATACTATAATCCAACGCAACGATATGCACAGGGGTCACCGAGTCCGTTAAATGCGCAGTTTGGGGCTTCGGCAACCGTGAATACACTGTTGCAACCAGGAGAGGGTAACTTTGCATGCACCTTGGATACATTGGACGAACCTGCTTTTGGTGGGGCAAACGGTGGTTTCATGGGTTTGGCTGTGAGTGGGGGCAACGGGAACGGAGGGGGCGAAAACGTGGTCTGTCTCGGATGGGAGGGTGGTGTTGATATCTGGAGAGTGGGGAGGGGAGTTGTAGAACTAGTTGGGCGACTAGAGGGTTTGGGCGGCGGGGTGAAGGGTGCTAAGGTAATGATACCCTGCCCTTTTCTCGCCCATATTTTGTTTTTCCTTATTGTGCTCCCCATAGCGGCTATTTTGGCCCGTGCGGTTTGGTTCTATTTCGGGTCAGAGATGCCTAGTCGGATCGTCGTACCAATCACATTAGAGGAGCAATTTTATGAACAGGATGTTGAATATATTGCTTTGCTTAAGGCCTCCATCGGTTACTGACAGGAGTGTGCTTTTAGATGCTGGCAACACCGCCTCGGGATGATCCTCTAGCAGCTCATAGGCCACTTGTATGTCTCACTTTACACTCCCCGGTTACCCCTCAGGCAGTACCAGAAGGGGAAAGACCTCCACCAATTATGCAAGAAGATGAAACGCCCTACTCTACGTCCCCTCCTTCCCGCCCCTCAACTTCTGCTTCCAATCGAAGTGCGCATTCCCCGGCACAACCAACCGAATGGCAAACCACGGTTGAGGTCTGGAGTTTGTCTTCCCGTACGATGGTTGCGAGACTATTTACTAGTCCCTTGGTACCAGCGGCAGATTTCGGTTTCGGGGTGGGGAGTCCGCCGCCCCCTTGGGGGGGGTTGAGGGTAGAAGTTGTTGGTACAAGAGTAGTAATAGGTGTTGGAATAAGCGGAGAATTGTATGTATATGGCTTGGAAAGTGGTAATGAATTCCATGGTGATAATGCCGGGTGGAAATGTTTGGGCAAACTGTGGACGGCTATCCAGGGACATCCTGGAGGAAGCTTTTCCAGCGACAGCGGAATCCCGGGCCTTGGCACTGATGGGAAGGTGACGGGCATGGGAGGGCAAATTGGGACACCAGTGTTCTCACTCTCAAACGGGTGGTTGGCATATTGCCCGGCGTCCGCTGGTTCTGCTTATCACGTGGGTGGTGAAGTCGGTGTTCCGTTCAGTTCTCCAACTGTCAGATCCCACTCACCGCCTGCACAACCAGCTATCACGGCTGCAGTGTCCCTGGAGGATGAGGCGTTCCTGAATCGTATGGCTAGGGAGGTAACCCAGGAGGTCATTCGTGGAGCGAAACGGGCAACGGAGGCCAGTATCAAGGCATTTCAAAACTATTGGAATGGGCCTCAAAATAATTCGCCTCCGCCTCCGCCTCCGCCACTTCCCGTGAACATGATGAATAGCGGGATTTACACAATTCCCAATATGGGCGCGGGAAGTGTTCACGGCGGACCGCAGCCTAGCGGATTGGGTCAACAATTGCGACAGATGCAACAGATGGGAGGGATGCCGCAACAATCCCAATTTCTCCAGCACACCCCTCCCCAGCAATCGGCAAGCGAGCCACGATTAGTGAGTATTATTGATTTGTCCAAGATTTCCCACGGTCTCGATGGCGGGGTGAGTCTCAGCGGCCAGCAAATCAGCATGGCTCCGATGGCGACCTTCCTACCCCCAGCAGGCGTGAGCTATCTCAGCTTTGCCCCCGGCGGGTTGGCCTTGCTGACGGCGAGCTCTAAAGGAGACCTGCTGTTTGTGTGGGACCTGATGAGAGTTGTTCACCATCCGCCTGGGAACCCTTTACACGGAAGCCAAAAGTCTGGTCCTGGAGGCCAAGACAACGTGAAGCTTTCGGGACCTCCTAACTGGCCGGACGGAGGTGCACTTGGGAAACACGTAAGGCAGATTGCTCGGTTTAGTCGTATAACACCAACAACAATTGTAGACGTCGGATGGTCCAGCCCCAAGGGTGAAATATTGACGGTGGTCACGGAGAGAGGAACAGTCCATTTCTATGACCTGCCCAGTAACGCGTACCAGTGGCCCCCTCCAAAACGACCACCGCCTTCTTCTAGCGCTATAGCTGCTGGAGCCCAAGTTGGGGCTGCTGGAGCGGCAGTCACTGGTGCGGTTAATCTATTCAGCAGCTCTACCCAGCCCCTCCTGTCAGCAGCCCGCAAGAGGCGAAGCAGAAGCAGTAGTATTGGCTCGCCAAGCGGGGGTATCTTTTTGAATGGGAATTCCAACCGGCGTCCAGGACAGAGCGGCAGTAGCGGTGGGTCACCCAATGACCATATAGGGGGGAATAAGGTCTCACTCCCTCAAGGGCTGGGCAGTATCCGACCAGGGTCGGTTAAATTTCTTGTCGGGAAAGAGAGGGGGTATGTTGCTCTAATAGGAGCCGGTGTGCTCCGGATCTACGAGGTCAGACCTGGAGGCGGTGGAAGCAAGAGGAGGAGTGCTGGGGGGATCATGAACAACTTTTTAGAATATGAGTTGCCTATGTTACCCGATGGATCTTCGCAGCAGAACACTCTTTCCGTCGAAGGTGAGGAGAAGCAAGTGGGCGGGTTCTGGACTGGAAGACATCATCACCACCATCACCACCCGGTACATAACATCGAACAGCAAAAGTTTGAACAAAATCCACTATCCTTTGCTGAAATAGAAACGAACGCTATATTCCAGCCCTTCCACACGGACAGACACGTAAGTTTGTTTGTGCACACAGACGCAGGAGGTATCCAGGGGCTTCTACGGCGCTCTCCCAAGCCAACCGGTTGGCTCGTGGGCAGTTCAAGACAGGCGAAGGCGGGTCGTCGCCAGGACGAGGACCAATCTGTTGCCTCTACGTCATCGCCATCGTCCCCTACACACGAGCCGGCGCCAGTCCCCGGTGAGGAGAAGACTGAATATCAATCCCATCTTCCTGCCACCCCCCCGGAAGGAACTACAGTTCCGGGACCGGCTTCCAAACCCGCTCCGGACACTACTCTGGCAGTGGCTTCTTCGACCAGCCCTGCGCCAGACAGCGGTGATCGATGGGTATTCGGCCTTTCCATACCTGCAGAGAAGTTGAACATTGGCTCGGCACGCGGTGAGGTAGCGTTCACGGGCGACGAAGGCGGGCTGGCAGAAGCAATGGAAAGCGGACTAGAGCTTGACCGAGGTGGGACGAGTACGATAAAGAAGGGACGGAGGGGCGGTGGGGGGAGGTTAGGTCCTGGTGGCGAGGGATTCTTTGAGAACGACTGTGAGGTGTTGGAGTACGCGGGTACCATGTAAGCGTATGGCCTGTTACTGGGACTCTCGGTTTGAGCCATTGGATTGTTTCAGAAACCCTTTTCCTCTCTACTCGTCTATCGACGTGTGCTGCTGTTTTTTGACAGCCCCTTCTTGTGACTATTTTATTTCTTTTCTTTCCCCGAACACTTCCCTTTCTTCGTTTTCGTTTTCGTCACAGCATTGAATTGGGGTTTTGGGATAGGATTTTCTTTTTCTTCATGCGTTGAAACTATAAGACGAGATTCCACAAAAAAAATGTTTATCTCTTCATTACCGTTTTCTCTAATAATTGTTATATCGTGGGCACATGCACTGGTGGGGGTTTTGTCTTTATCATTTTCATTACACTTTTGACTACCATATCTCGCGTTTTTTTGTAATATTGGTTTTTTCTTTTTGTCTCACTCGCTACAATACCAGACTCGAGCACGCTCAGAGCGAGAACCAAAGTATACCAGGGCTATCGAGTTGATATCTATTTTCTCCCTGCTTTTTTTTTTACTTTTTTTTTTCCCCCCTTCAAATTCTGAACGGAGTAGCAGCGGGGGTATTCAGTTTTGATTTGTATGTACTCTACATTGTACGTATGTAGCTTAGTCCAAATTGTGGCAGCTTGTATTTTGGGAGACCTGAGTATTAAATTGCATTTGCTGAGTGAGTGGGCGACGGACATCACGTGGACGAGAGGAGGTTGGTCATGAATGAATGAATGAGTGTGTGGGCGGTATTGGGCAGGCGAGTGAGGTGCTGTGAGTGATGGTGCGAGGGTGAGTCGTGTGATGGTGCGAGGATGAGGTTAGGAGGCTGGTGATGCGCCCGCAGCGAGGTATCCCGTGAGTAGAATCTCAGAGAATGAGGCAAGCTACGAAGGAGAGAAAAGAGAAGTGGCCAATCGGTTAACTCGAATACGACACTGTACCCCAGCAGTAAATTAGAGCCCGGAGGACAGGGAGATATTGCGGATCCATGAGACAATTTCCTATGATAGATATCATACTAGGAACTTGCGCTGACTACCGTATGCATACTCTCAGCGGGGGGGCCGTTATCAAAAGCTTGGCCCCTCCCTTCCCTCCATATCTAATCAATCAATCAATCCCTGCAGCTGAGATAGCATGATATAAATACTCCTCACCTTCTTTTTCCTGGAAAGTTTTCTTTTCCCCTTTCCCTCTTTCTCTCCAGACAGACCGCCGATAACAAAAAAACACATTACTTTTTACAGTCGACCTGTTCGTTACTCACCATAGCGAGGAGCGTTTTCGCGTCGAGCGGAGAATAATTGACAAGACCCGTTGCTGGGCGCCTGGCTTTTACGTACAGTATGTACGGATGAGGAGTTGGGAATCAGTGGTGGTTACACTTTTTTTTAAACCTTTTTTAATTTTTCTAATTTAGATGGATGGTTGAATCTATATCATGGAAGTATGCTGGTTTTGGCACATTTGGGAAGTGGACTGGGAATGAATGCGAATATTATTGATAGGGACACGTATTTTTTATTTCTATTCTCATGTCTCTATTCCCCTGTCAGCACCGGGGGAGAGAGAAGGAAGGAAGGATGAAAGGAACGCGTAATTGGGGGGAGGATACGTATGCAGAGGTCCTCGCCCCATCTTCCATGCTGTGTATGATATAGTAGCTGTCGTAGTTAGTCGTAGGCTTTTCGCCTCCCTCCCCGGGGAAAGAGGGAAATAGAGTGTACTAGGCTTTGCATTATACCGGTACTGTACCTGATCCCAGGCCTACCTTCCGGAGGTCCACACACCCATATCATACATATAGTACATACTCGAGTACATGCATACATACCGGTACCGGTATTGTATGAGTATGATACGAGTACTCGAGTACTGGTGCGAGTGCGTGCGTCCATCATTCCATCTACTTGTATCTTACCGGTGGTACTCGTATCGTCCCTCCTCTCACACACACGCACCCTCTCTCCCTCTCCTACCGTACACCCACACACTCGCACGGGTCCTTTCTTTTCTTCTTTTCTTCTTTTTCATTTCCAACCACCTCCACCCGGAGCGAGCGGAGGCTGTTCGACTGCACAGATGCTTTTTCGAGATGTGGTTGGACGTCGCTGCTATATCTTGGCTGGCCTTCCCACCGCTCTTACTACTACCGGCACCCCAGCAACGGCGGCGGCGACCATAGCCACAACCCCCACCCCCACCTCGTCCATTGTGCGTTTAAGGACACGCGCTCGCATTCTACTTTCTGCTTTCCCTCCCTTCCATAGCTCTCATCCTTCTACTCGTCTGCACACCCTCGCTACCGGTACCGGTACTCATCACTTTAGAATCGCCAGGAAAAACATATTCAAGCTGGCGTTGGCACAGCAACAGCGCGACCACATTGGTCATTCACATCCCCATTCTCACGGCCCCGGGGGACACCACCACCATCATGACAATACATACTTGGTCTCCAAGAACAAGACTGATGCCGGAGTGAGGATTACCAGGATTGGGCTCTATGTGAACCTCATGATGGCCGTGTCGAAGGGGATTGGAGGGTGGTATTTTAACTCGCAAGCTTTGGTTTGTTGTGGCCCTACTCTTACTTGGCTCCGGGGCGTGACTGATGGGGTGATACAAAGGTGGCGGATGCTTTCCACGCCCTGACCGATTTGGTGTCGGATTTTATGACACTGGGAACTGTGGCCTTTGCGCTCAGGAGTCCGACGGAGAAGTTTCCGAATGGCTATGGGAAGATTGAGAGTTTGGGGAGTTTGGGGGTTAGTAGTTTGTTGTTGTTTGGTGGGATTGCTATGGGTTTGTCCCGCCCCTTTGTGGTTTTCTCCTTTTTCTCTCTCTCCCGAGGCATGGGGGAAGGCTGACGGATGGGGTGTGTGGTCCTGCAGGATACACTGCGTTGATCCATCTTTATGCCGAGTTCTTTGGTGGAAATCTACCCGAGTTCTTGGAACACGTTCATGGTCATTCGCACTCCCACTCGCACTCCGACTTGGGACCGAATGTGAATGCTGCTTGGTTGGCTGCTGGCTCAATTGTCGTCAAGGAATGGCTCTACCGTTCAAGTAAGTTTGTCCGGTACGTGCCATGACTGAAGTCTCAGGCTAACTGGGGTGATAGCCATGAAGATCGCAAAGGAGAGGAAATCCTCGGTCCTTGCTTCTAACGCAATCCATCATCGCATCGATTCGCTCACTTCCATCGTCGCCCTCATCGCCATAGGCGGAGCCCACTTTCTCCAGAACGCATCGTACCTGGACCCAGTCGGTGGATTGATTGTCTCGCTCATGGTCATCAATGCCGGTTGGGGCAATACCCGTGCTGCACTCATGGAATTGGTGGACGTGGGCCTTGACCACGAAATCAAAGAGGCTGTACGGAATGCCTCTGACAAAGCACTCGCGCTCCGTCAGGAGCGACTCAGCATCCGCGCAGTCGGCGGTTCAAAGTCCGGACAGAACTACCTTGTCGAGCTAACCGTGGAAGTCCCCGTCGGTACCACCGTCCGTGCAACCAGAGCCCTGGAGGAAGTCCTGCGCGGGGTCGTCGGTGCCGAAGTCAGAGGTGTCAAAAGGATCAAAATACGCTTTGTGGAAGAGGGCACCGAGATACCAAATGAGTTTGTCTTCAAGGAGGAGAATGTATCTAGCCAGGTTGAGGGACATAGTCATGATCATTAGATTTGGGGGGGGGGGGAAGAACATTGGTGGGTGATTTGCTTTTGCTCTTCATTTTTTCCTTTTCCTTTCAATGTGTGTTCTTAAGACTGGTGTGAATAGCTGGATCTTTATCCCTTTTTCTTGCTTTACTTTTCCTACTGTCTTGACATTTGAGCTAGTGTTAGAGTTAGATAGCTTGAAGTACGGTGCTTTGCTTGAAGGGTTGGTCTCTCTTTTTACTTTTTACTTTTTTCGCAGTTTGGTCGGCGTTGGGGTTTGCTCTTGATCGAGTAGAGAGGTTTGAAATTCTTGGTACTGTACGCCTCAAATTGAGAACACAACATACCGCACGAATACAGGTGTATTACTTTGAAAGTTACCTGTATAAACTGCCACTAGTATAGTACATGTGTACTAGCTTGCTTTTCCATGTTTTGTAAGTGCTATCTTGATCAAAAATAAAATAAAAATAATATTTTGACACTCATATTATTAGCTATTATTAGTGTGGAAATTATTTTTCAGGAAATAAAATGACTACCGGTACTGTACTGTACCTCCTTGCCAAAAGGTTTACTGTGTATGATACTGTAAAACACCTATATAGTATAACATACGAGTATCGTACCTTCTGTGCCCCGAGAACTTCGAACCTCCCTAGCACAACAGTACCTGCAGAGCTGCGAGCCTGCGACAACCGTTGGAATGGAGTGTGGGTGTTATTTCTGGACAAGCAGTTACCTGTGCATAACCCCACTGCATCATACTTGCCGGTAGTCCAAGATAGTATCATACCGGTACTTGTACAGTATCGTACCGTACTCGAGTGCGGTAAGATGCCACACGGTGTCACTGTTCATCCATCACTGTGCTAGTATGCATGTCTACCGCCTCTCTTCCCCGTTTACCTGCCCGCCCGCGGGGGTAGTACTCGTACAGTGCAGTACACCTCGCTGGGTAACGGGGAAGAAACAATCCATATCGGAAACTACGCTTTTTTACGCGCTGTTCATGGTTCGGTCGGTCTCGATTGGATACCTGCGCTATGTGGAAAATCTCTTGTGTATAAGTGAATACTCGAGTATCTTCCTCTCCAAGTGTTGCAAATTGAATAATTGAAACATCTAATGGTCGCGTGGCCCAATGGCAAGGCGCTTGACTACGATTTCCTCTGATATCAAGAGATTGCAGGTTCGATCCCTGCCGCGATCATTTTTTCGCTTTCTTCTTCTCTTTGTGCCATTGCCTATCGCGATAAGCCAATTTAGTGGTTGTTGCCAAGCCCTTAGGAATTCTAACCGCGGGGAGGGGACGCTCGAGTGGATCTCTTCACGTCATTCCAACTCTGCCCACCAACAACCACTCTCCTTTCCTTCCACATTCACCACCACGCCTTCATTTTGTCACTTTTTCCCTTTCTTGGGAAACTTTCTCAGGGGTAACGAGGATAACAATTGTGGAGCAAGTTGACTATGGAAAGTAGAAAGCTTTATCGGGAGCTCAATGGCGCTCGTGGGATTGGGTCCAATGCTAGTTTCTACGGCGCACGTTCTTGGATCGAGAGGTTGGATCTGGTAGCTGAGCTATCCGGGCACGAGGGGTGTGTTAACGCACTCTGGTACCTGTCACCCCCCACCTTTTAGGACCTACTAGGCGGTTGATGGAGCTAATTAAAGAAAAAGCTGGTCCCGCAGCGGCGAACTCCTAGCTTCTGGCAGCGACGATACACAGGTCAACATCCACACTGTGTACCCGGACTTTGCGCTGAACACGCGCATAAACACGGGCCACACACAAAACATCTTCAGCGTAAAGTTCATGCCGCACTCCTCGGACCGCACAATACTCTCGGCGGCTGGCGACTCCCAAGTGCGCATATTCGATATCGAGTACGCCGCCACGAGCTCGAACTCCGCGGCAAATAGATCGAATCGGCCTCTCCCCCCCGCTTCCGCGCCAGCCGTCGGGCAGCACTTTTTCTTTGGGAGGAGGATTGCTGCCGGCAGTGATATTGTCCCGTTGAAGGGGTATTCGTATGCGGAGGATCGGCACAAGGTCTACCGAAGCCATACCTCACGGGTTAAGAGGATTGTGACTGAGGCGAATCCGCATACTTTTTTGACCTGCTCCGAGGATGGAACTGTGAGGCAGTGGGATCTCAGGCAACCGAGTGAGTTCTACGCTAGGCCGGCTGGGAGGAGGAGGAGAGGGAGGGGGTACTATGGCATGACAGTGATTGATGACGAGGATGAGGATGAGTTGAGTAGTGGCGGGGCACCCCCGTTGATCAGTTACCGCAAGTGGGGGGTTGAGTTGAATGCCATTTCTTGCTCGACGAGCCAACCGTTCTATATCGCGCTGGGCGGTCGGAATTTGCATTGCTTCTTGCACGATAGGAGGATGTCTGGGAGGGATTTGGCGGCTGAAAGTGGCGCCGGGAGGAGTTTGAGTCCTAGCTCTAGCTCTAGCTCTAGCACCACCACCACTGCTATGGACACGGCGACTAGGTGTGTTAGGAAGTTTGTGCCCAGGCCTGATGGCAGTGGGGGATGGCCGGATCCGCATATTACGTCTTGTAAGATCTCTGATGCGCATCCAGATAACGTGCTCGTCTCTTGGAGCGGGGATGGGATATACATGTTTAGCATCAACCAGAGTCCCGAAGAACCCAGCAGTGGCAGCGATGGGAAGGGGAAGGAAGCCTGGAATCCGGACGAGCGCAGAGACCGAGACGAATCTGATCCCGGGCCTAGTGGTAGCAGCAGTAGTCGCGGTAGAAGACGCAGCGCCGACGAACCAATGTCCAAGAGACTTCGAGAGTCAGGCCGCGGCTCTTCTTCACCTTCCTCTTCTCCCTCCCCCTCCTCCGACCGGGGGGTAGAATCCGGCGCCGAGACCGAAGACGAAGACCAGGATCGAGATCAAACCCCCAGCACGCCCTTCCCGGAAGGCCAATTCCTAACAATCGCTGGCCTACTCACTGCCCTCAAGCAAAAACTCACAACCCTCCAAACCGCCCCCTCCTCCCCGGAAGCGGAAGATGAACTCGCGAGCGACATCCTAGCCACGGCAACGCACGCCTACCGCCGCATCCGGCGTAGGCTCCTCTCGCAGGAGCGGCGCGATCTGGAATTCCTCGCTCACGCCACTCTCGCCGAGAGCAACTCGGAGTTTCGCCGTCGCCGGGGGGAGCGCAACGAGCGTGCGCGTGAGCGTCGCAAGACACGGGATTGGGTGCGCGCCGTGGGGTACTATGCCCATGCGGTGCTTCTGAGCGGGGAGGTTGATGATGAGGACTTCGAAGAATTGGAGTATACACGCGATGTCGGGTATCGGGTTTTCAAGCTGGCTTGTGGGGTTGCTGCTGGGGGGAGGGACGGGGGAGTGGAAGTTATTAGGGGGGAGCAAGGGGTAGGGTTCGGGTTTGGTGATGGTGATGGCGATGGTGACGTGGACGGGGACGAGGAAGAAATGTTGAGGGAATACTTCACAGACCTTCTCATCAACGCAAGTCCCCAGCCAATCCGGGACGCCTCGGGAAATACATTGTACAATTCCGAAAGCGACCTAATAGCCTCCCTCCGAACGCTAATGCACTCACCCCCCCCTCCCTCTCGAGCCTCGCACCTAAGGATAACTCTCATCCCAGCCCTCCTATTAGCCCTCTGTCCCCCCATCTCCACCCCCTCCCCCACCCCCTCTATATCTCCCACCCCCTCATCCCCCCTCCACCAAACCCACCACCAATCAAACCCATACGCCTCCATCACCCCCTCCCGCCATTCAACCCTCTACCTCGGCCACGCCAACACTCTAACAATAAAGGACGTAACCTTCCTCGGTCAGCGGGACGAATATGTCGTCTCGGGTTCCGACGACGGCAACTTCTTCATCTGGGATGCACGCAGCGCTCAAATAGTGAATGTACTAGCTGGCGACGAGGAAGTCGTTAACGTTGTCGTGGGGCATCCGTACGTGCCGGTTCTGGGTGTTGCGGGGATTGGCTGTCGGGTCGGCATTTTCGGTGTAGAGGGAGGGAGCGCGGGGGGGAAGGGACGGATGGGGGATGTCTACGGGATTGTCGCTAGGAATGAGGAGGCTAATGGGGCTGGTGGGCGGGGGAATGGCGGTGAGGTTAGGGCTGTTTGTGTGCCTTCTTAGGGGTGCTTGGGTCCGGGTTTTGTGGAGTTTGTTGGGATTTGTTTTTTTTGTCATTGTTATCGTATTACCATTATTGTGGGGCGTTGGAAAATGTTGTGGGGTTTATTGAGTCGATTGAGTAATTGAATGAATGAATAATTGAATGAATGAATGAATGAATGACGAATAAGCATCTTAGTCACGCACTCTCACTCGAGTAGCTCAGCTGCAGCTGCCAATTCCTCCTACTCAAATGTTCGCGCGCCATATAGGTTCCATGGCACCAATTCATGCGTTTCCATGCTTTTTTAGTGGCCGAAAAAAGCACCGCCCAAACTCGTGGCTAAAATTTTCCAATCTAAGCTTTCAAAAGTAAAGAAAGAGGAAAAAAAAAGCCTACCAATTCCAACCCCTCCAGTCACAAACAAGAACCGGGGTAAAAAAGAGATCAAGAATACGTGCTCTTCCAACTCCCACCCCTCTCCTCCCCCCAAACTATCCATCCATCCATCCTCCTGCTCCTAATCGCATCATTTACCCCCCCCCCTCCTTAAGTGCGAAAACTACTTACTCAGCAACGGTTCTCGTTCCTTCATCGTGGAGCGCTAGAGTTCGGATGGTTGGTTATTCCTGGGGGGTGGTGGGGGTGGACTATACTTTACTGTTTGTTTGTTTGTATCGGGGCTTGGTTTTGGTATAGTATTTGGGGTTGTGGGAGGGTTGTGGGAGGTTTCTATCGTTTTTGAAAGTGGAGGGGGGTTTATAGATTTGGAGTGAATGGTCTATGCATAATATGTTGCTTGCTTACCCTGTCCTCCTGCGCTGATTTGATTGTCTAGTATTTTGCGGAATCGCTCTTTCTATCATGCCACACTCGGGTAGTGGATTGGGGGTCTGGGGTTTCGCCAGTCTACCGTTTTCCGGGTTATCTTGACAAAACTTCTCGATTCTGTGATACAATATCGCGCGGTTATCAGGCGGTAGGTGGGGGAGGGGTGTGCTTTCGTTATGATGTCCTGGTGGCTGCCCTGCGTGGAACTCTGGTAACCGTGTATATATATGCCGGCTAGTTATCATAGTATGACATACCATTCACATGGCTACTCTGGCGTGTGCTGAGAATTTCACAAGATGGGGGTGAGTTTGTTTGCGGCGGATGGTCCTGACCACCTGTACTATACTGTGATCTGGGATAACCTCATACTTCACTCTCACAAAAGTCCAACCATTGACCCCGTTGTTCTTGAGGGTTTATCATTGACATAATGCTCCATCCAAGACACACAGTCCCACACAAACACTGGCACACTCTCATTCCCAATCGCCCGGGCTCTCCTCCATTTTTCGCTATCGCGATCTAAACAGGTCTCCGATGATGAACACTGTTGCTGAGTGGCCGTATCGTACCAACCCACGAAAGTGTCCTAAGCGCAAGGGATACCAACACGGTTGGTGAGCTCTCCGAGTGAGCTCAAGTGATAACGTCCCGGTTTTCTTTTGTACCGGGTGGGGAATTGCGGAGGTGGGACGATTCGGAGGAAGCTTAGTTATATATCGTAACTCATCTTAGATATATCTGCCCAAGAAAGGGATGTATGATATACAACAGAACTAGTGCGCCCTTCGGTGGCGCTCGATGGGTCTAAGAGCTTGGATAGCGCAATTAGGGGTTTTTCCTTCCTTTTTTTTTTCCAGTTGTTCAGTTTTTCGGCCGGTAATATAAAGTTAGGATAGCAGGTTCATAGAAGGGGGTAGGAACACTGGATGTCGCAGAAGGCTTGTCTGTATAGTTGGCACTGCTTCATGGCTGAGTTGGAGAGTACTACCGCTTCACCCACTCGTTCCGCAACCCTTGTCTTACAAGGGTAGATAGATGCCGTGAAAGGAAATTGTAGGAACTATTAGGCCTAGCTAGTCCGTTGGGCTATCTGTGGGTTGGTCATATTGGACAAGAGCCCCGATCCAATGGAATAATAGATCGTTATACAAATAGTTATGAAGCAAATTTGACTCCGATCAAAAAAACATTAAAGACGTTCAACACCTCCGGTAAGAAGTAGGAAAGGGACCCGGCGTTACAGCAGCTGGATTTTTTGGGAAAATTAAAACGATAAGCTCAGACGCATAAAGAAAATAAGCCCACCGATGCCATGTGGGGCTGGGAGCTAGAGCTGAATAGGTACATATTTGATTGCAAAATATTTCTCTCACTTATACACACACCCCCGCGCCCAACAAACCACCCAAATCCAAAGGGATGGAAAACACCTCATATCATATCTGGTATTCCCTTGCTTACTTTTACCAACCTCGTAGCACTCAGTATCATACTACTGCTAACCTGTCTGGAAGCTGTAATGTATTATAGTTTTAGCTCTCCCGTATTCTTTTCTTTGGCGAGGTGTTTAGTTTGCGACGATGTCCACTGGACTAGGATGCGGGTTTTGAGGTTGTTGTAGCGTGTCATCTGCAGTGATTTGGAGGGTCGAGGAAGAGGGTGTTATAGAGTGGTCGGTTTGTGAGATAGAGTGCGAGAGGTATGCATCTACAGAGAGCATGGTAGGTGCGGATATAATCTTGACGTTAGAGTAAGAAGGACCAATTGGACGAGCAGTGCTTGGGATGAGTTGTTGTGAGGTATTTCTGCAATAAATTTTGACTGTAAAACCTGTAGTGATTAGCCAGCAGTGGTACGGTTTTAATACCATTGAAAACCTCAAATACTTCCAACTATAATACGTGAGAAGAGAACTTGAATATAATAGAGATACTAAGACTAAATATTAGTCCTAAGGAACATGAGACATCTAAGAGGAAGAACGCTACTACAGTTAGAACCCTTTACTGAATTGAGTACAATCATAGAATGGAATATTATTGGGTCATTATGTATCGCTGGATATGAGATATGAGTGATTTTATAGGAGATCCTAATACCTTTTCCCATTCCTATTTCATCACTTGCGAGGGATAATAAGACTAAGAGTTAAAAGTTAAGGTAAGGGTAAATGGAACTAGATCCTCAGGCTATGTTTCATATACATAGTCACCCCCAACATCAATATGATACTATAATAATAATATTATCATAATATTATTATTTTCTTCCTTGGCACTTTAACCTGTAGGCTTTGGGTGGCTTGCCCTTTCATAAATTACAGCATCAGTGGCAGAATATCTGCCACCGTATCCGATGATCACATGAATTCTCTCTCTTTGTAGTTGAATTGCTTTGTGTATTAGGAAATACGCGTTAGAACATGAAAAAAAAAACATTAATGCTTATCCATTTGGTTACCAGATGACCTTCAGGTAGTTTTCATAGTCAGGGATAAAACATAAAAACTTGTGTATTGGGGACCTTAGCCGCGGTCTTTTTCCAAGTTTACCCCATATCCGTCGTGGACAGGCCAACCATTGACTCCGCACCCTCAACAGGGAGGTGACACCTCCGCTCAGCCACCGGTGGCGGCATCAACGCGATTAAACATGTCTTGTAGCCTACGAGCGAGCGTCACGAACACTTTTTGTCCGGTGGCTCTACCCATCGGTGCGCTGTCTTCAGCCTTGGCGGAATTATCCTGACCGATTGAGTTTATACCTTTGCTATTGCGATGCCGACCAGTAATTTGCCTATTGCTTTTCTTTTCTTTTTCTTTTTACCGAGCGGCGTTCCCTCGCCCCGGTACGGGCCCGATCAGTGGTGACATTTTTGGCCTGAGGTGCCTAAATAACGGTTGCTGCTTATAGTGGGGTTGGTGCGCCGACTAGTCTAAGCACTGCGCTGTTGGATGCCAGTCTGCATTTGGAGTAAGAACTTCCCATGCATTGGTTCATGTCGAGACACTGATAGACCCTATAGAGATGTGATCCTTCTCCCCCAAATGGGTTCTTCTCAAAATCCCCCCCTGACCCATTTCACGGGGGAGTAGATCATATCCGTGGTCCTGGAGGCCCCAATTGGAGAGGTGTTCCCAAAGAAACGCATAAACACAGATGGGGGAAGAAGTTTGGCAAAGGCAAGTACCGTGGGGGAAAGGGTGAGGATTTCGACTCCGATGATGAGCACCACCACCACCATCATCACCATCACCACGGCATCGGCATGGGCCGTCGTCACGGCCGGAAGGTTGGTCAGCCTCACCATGATTGACACAGATATGATTGGAGTGACATCGATGATGAGCGCTCCTTCGGACCCCCATTCGGCAGAACTTCTCCCTCATTCGGGAGGTTACCTCCCGGCGGTCCCCGACCCGGTGCCCAACAAGGCGGCCATCCAACACCCTATCTGGCTGGTATAGGTAAATACCGTCATAGTGACCATCAATTTGTGGACCGTGTAAAGGACGGTTTCGGGCACCATAGAAATGGGCGGCCCGGTAAATCCCTTGACCCCCACGGCTCTGGGGATGATTGGCAGGGTGGGGGCCATAAGTTCGGCAGTGTCTCAGGGCCTTGGGATCGCTATCAAGCTCACCGTGCTTGGCGCGGGTACAACTACGATGGTGACTTTGCCCCCCTCGGCGGAAGCCTTTTTGAAATACTTAAGGAATTCACAAGAGCTCCTCTAAGTAATCCCAAGGGCAAACCTCCCCATCCACCCCCACACTCGTCGGCCAAAACCAATTCCCATGTTATGAACCGCCCAAAGCCTGGAGGTGTCCCCTATGGTCAGCTCATCAAGACTTGCAAAGATCCTGGAATGGTTGCTCTAACCTTTGATGATGGGACATTCAAATACACCACTAAATTGCTGGACATCCTCAAGAACAATGGTGGCATTCGCGCTACTTTCTTTGTCAACGGCAAGAATGTCGGTGATCTCAATGACCAGGCGATGAAGGACACCCTCAAAAGGATTATGGCAGATGGCCACCAAATCGGTTCTCATACGTAAGTCACCCATCCCACTTAGATTTGGTTTTAGAACTAACGTATATTCCAGTTTCTCCCATAAACCTTTGTCTCCTCTCTCGGAGATGGATAAGATTTCGGAAATGGTCAAACTCGAGAATGCCCTCCACGGAATCATTGGCAAGAAGCCTACTTACATGCGCCCCCCGAGCTTTGAATGCAACGACAAGTGCATGAAGTTCATAGAGGGGCTTAGATACCACGTCATTAGTGAGAACCTCGACGCTCAGGACTGGAAGAACATGGGCAACATGCAAGTATCCAAGGACATCGTCAACAAGGCCGTAGATGGGGCCGACTCCAAGAAGAACAACTTTATTGTTCTTGCTCACGACATTCACGGGGCTACCGTCGAGCAGTTGGCTTAGCACATGATTGACAAGTTCAAGGGGAAGGGATACAGATGTAAGCGTCCGCCTAGAGATATCCACACGATTCAGAATAGATTGTTAACAACCACATAGTCGTCACCGTTGGAGAGTGCCTCGGGGATGCATCAGAGAACTGGTACAGGAACAAATAAGGCCGTTCGCTAGATATTGTGTCAACACCCTCGTTCTTAGCGGAGGGTACCTTTTCTTCCCAGTCACTCTTTTCTTCCTCTTCCTTATTGAACATGTCACTCCATCCCCCTTTTTTAATAGCGATGGTTTCTTTTCTTTTATTTACCGAAACCTACCGCTCCAGTCCGGAGCGATCCGATGTCATTGTCTATCCCCCCGGCGGCCAAAAGTTTGCCCCTCATCCCTTCACCCCCCCATCCCACTGTTCCATATGCCCTCCTCCTTGCATAGAGCATGTTATTACCGTACTTAAGATGTACCAATTGTAGGTTTCTTTTCAATTTATGTTTTGGCTTGGTTTTGCTCGTCTCTATTGTTAGCTTTTTTCAATCATAAGTTAGTATGGAATTAAGAAATGTAGATGTGTCCGTTCTTCTTACCGAGTTTATGTTCTACTTTCGCGCGCATTTCTGTAAAGCTCCGGCGCTAGTCCGCGATTGTGGTCGAGTTAGATACCGGAGTATCAATGGATGGATCGGGGAGGGGTTTTGGTGTGGGATCATTTATCATCACTCGGTTCTGTTACACCGGTGGTTATGTATGGATCTATGTTGCCGAGCCAGCGGCAATGTGAGCGGGGTGCTACCGTGGTTGTATTACACCGGAGTTATCATAAAAATGTCTGATATTTTCTACGAACTCTACGAGACAAACATGGGTGTGCATGCCCGAAAAGTTGTCTAATTCCGTAGTGTTGTGATGGGCGAGCGGCCCACGCCATGCTTTTTCACACCCCCCCCCCCACCGGGTACGTTATCCTTCTCTACGCATAAGCAAAGGGTGGGCACAGCTCCACGAGACCCCCTCTAGATATCTCCTGCGTTTCCCCACTGTCACTTTTTAAACTTGGGAACCCACGCTGTCTATAGCAGGTTTCCTCTGCTATAAATATCTTTTTTTTTTCTAATGGCGCTTCATGCAACCTTGCTCTTACCCCCCACTCCGTTCCAGACCCCGTGAGGCATGTGTTCTGAACTACGCTAATGAAAGCAGCGCATAGAGAGAGAGAATACTCGAGCAGTGGATGGAACGCCACTAGTAACATGTTCAGATACAAAGCCAATCTAGCATCGAGCGGGTGTAACTGGCCAATACCCACCATACTGCTCCCGGCTCTACCGAAGATTGAAGTGAGCAAGTAACCTGCTAGTGATATGATAAGCAAAGAGAGGGAAGAAGTGTGCGATTGTTGAAGAAGCTAGAGGTGCCTAACGAACGCCAAGGCATTGGGTACCGGGTATGGAGGAATGCGGAGTGAAGGTGGCAATTAAAAGAAGACTATTATAGGAGAAGGCGAGAAACTGGGAAGTGGAAGAGCGGACTTGGCTAGCTAAGCTACGGCCAGTATCAAGAGGTCTAGTCGGTATGAGATCATGACTGATTTTTTATTTTTATTTTTGTAACTTTGGATGGGGGGGGGATTCAGGGTTTAGTGTAGGGAGTGATGGAGTATGATCGGGACAGGGTTTGTGAGGTCTCGTTAGGCAATAAGGACTTGCATGCTTGATTTGTTCCGTAATTATGTTTTTATTTTTTTTATATTTTTTTTTAGGGGGGGAAGTTGTGGGGTGTGGGTCCCAAGTGCACGGGTTGGTTTCTATAGTGTTCCCCAGGAGGTGCACTGAGGTATCATATTATAGGTGTTTTTGGAATAGATACGTGAGGTGTGGTTGTAGGTGGTTCTCACAGTCCAAGATGTTGGTTTGGTATGATATTGCTTACTTTATAGGAATTCATAATTTCGATATAAACCTTTGATGATCCTTATATGAATCTAGAATAGTTTGGTAGATTATTTCTACAATAAGCCTGAGGCTATACCCATTTGCTTGTAAGCCTATTTTCAGGAAGCTTTTAAATTTATATATTTCTTGTATTACAAATAATTATTTTCTTGGAGTTTATCTCATATGAGTCTATTATTGGTAATTAGCCTATTTTTTGAGAACACCTTTAATATAACCTGTAAGTAATATAATATTATGAATCTTATAGAAATTGAATCTCACAATCATTGTAACTGTCTAGTTTTATCACCCAAATTTTACACCGTGGTGGTTAGGTAAACTGGCCCTAATACAAAAATTTTCTTTACCACAATTCTTTTGCAAATTTGGTTATATTTATACAAGTTCTATCTTGTTTTTTCTTAAAATTCCAGTTTATCCTTATGTCTAAAGCAAATAGTGGTTTTAAATATACTTAAGCCTTTTAGGAACAGTGAAAAAAAAAAAAATTTAGTAAGCAGCTTTGATATTATTAGATTTAATTATTATAGAACATCAGAATATTAACAGAAAGTTAAAAGATTCTCTTATAATAATCACAGTTAAGTATGAGGCTTACAGAAAGAAAAACTACTTAATTAAAGCTTATGGGCTAATTAACTTTACAGAAAATATTATACTAACAGATATCCATACAGTCAAACTTGAAATAAGGCTAAATTATACTTGATTGTTTACAAATTGAATAATACTTGCTTTTAGATAGGCCTTATCCTATAATAAGATTCAAGTAAAAATTTCAAGTCATATCAGTATATTATTATTATTAAGTAAAAAAGTCCCATATGAGTCTTATATAAATCTTACTAAGAATGAGTGAATTCCTATAAAGTATCTATTTATTTCTCCGCCCTATTGGGGGTTAGCAAAAGTAACTAAACATTTGGTGTAGCAACACTTGATCGCACAGCATCGCAACCTCCTATCCACACTTCCAAACTCCACTGTACTTTTACCACAATGAAATATTGTCTATAATGCATCCTCACAGAAGTCATAGGCATAAGCCAATTCCTATCAAATACCTTACCCCATTTCAAAGAGGCCAAATTATTGGCCAGCGAGACTGTGGTGTCCCTTTTTACAAAATTTCAGAAAACCTCAAAATCTCTCTATCAACTGTTTTTAATACAGTTCATAAAATACAACCTAATGGGGAGGGAAAAAAAACCTTCAGGTAGACCAAGAGGGTCTACTAAAGAGCAGGATGATGCAATGTTGGAGGCAGCTCTTCATGAGAGAACAATAACTTATGAAGATATTGCTGAGAAGATTGCACCTCAAGTGAGTGGGTATACTGTGAGGAAGAGACTTGCAGAAAAGTATTTGCATAAATGGATTGCAAAGAAGAGAGAGTATTTGGATGAGGAAATTGCAGGAAAGAGATTGGAGTCAGCTTTGGCTCATAGGGATTGGACTAGAGAGATGTGGAGAAAGAGAGCCATGTGGGAAGATGAGGTTACTGTGGAAAGAGGTGGATGTAAGAGGAAGCAATGGATATTTAGATATCCTAGAGAAAAATGGCATAAGGACTGCATTGATCCTACTGCTAGGGTAGGTGAGAGAAAGGTTATTAAATGATGACTGGTTGTTTTTATGGTCAGAAATATGGTCTCTTTCTTCCTGTTTTTCCTGATCCTAATTCTGCTGGAGGAGGGGTTACTGCAAAGTCTATTATTCAAGTTTATGATCAATATGATTTCCTAGCTATATGGAAGGAAATGAAGGAGAAAATGAGAGAGAAGGAAATTTTTTTGATTATTGACAATGCTAGAACCCATCTTCCCTTCATGAGATGGCTCAGGTCTAATGGTGTTACTCTCAAAGAAATTCCCCCTTACTCACCAGATCTTAATCCTATTGAACATATTTGGTCTCTTATAAAAGCTAAGCTTCATAAGTATTACCCTGAGCTTTATCTCATGAAGGGACCTAAGGATGGGATCAGGAAGGCTATTGAAGAGGTAGTTACTTTTTGTTGGGAACTTTTGGACCCCAAGGTCTTTGATAGCTTGGCAGAATTTATGATTCACAGGATTGAGGCAATTATTGAGGCAGATGGGTGGTATACAAAGTATTAATTAGGATTATGTATTTATTTTATTTCTAAATATTTTTTTGTGTTGTAGTTTTAATAGTGATTTGTTGAACAAGTGGTGTTGAGAAGGGAGTGCACGCCGTTGCGTCGCGATGTTCGGTTTCTTCTACTAAGGTGCTATACGTTATTAAGCGTAGGACATGGGTTTCAAGGCTCAAGCCCCACAATAGCTGTGAATCCCTTGGGACGATGGTTGATTATTCCCTGGCTCTATTTGTCGCTGCTGGGTTTCAGTCAATTCCGGAGAAACTCTTTTTTCTCTCATTTAGCCCGAGCTCTTTCGCGATTCTCGGCCTTGGTTTCGAGGGCTGTTAACTGCCTGGAAAAAGGCATCTTGAGCATTTCCATGTCGTCTATCGGTAGAATACTGCACGGCGAAAGCGCTATCAAGATCTGTTTGTGCCACGTTATTTAATAGTACTGTAGGTATTGCTAAGAGGCATGGTCATATCGCCTCACCCCGGGGGGGATCTGGAGTCTGCAGAGATGGGGTTGTCTACTCGCTACTTCCAAAAAATGACGATCAGACTCAATAAACTCGACATCACAACTACTAATCCTAGTTAGATAATTATGAGTAATAATGGATTCCAGGGAGAAAAAAGGAGCTTGATTCAAAAAACATATTTCAACTAGTTTCCGCGCAACGGTTACGCATGCAAAATTAGTGACAAACAGAGACCGAGGGACAGAAAGTAGAAAGGTTGAGAAAGAAGGACGGATAAACCAAGTTGAATGGCTGTGTAAAGCGGGAGTCAAATCACATGGATAGAAGGAATGGCTGAGGAAATTTGAGCCCCCACGGGATTCGAGGAGGGGGAAGATCAGGCGCTGTGAGATCTCATGTTTTCCAAGACGTTCTTTGTGCGTATTGGCAGGGACGAAAATCTGTAATCCTAGAGGTAACCGGGCACGATACTCCGGTGGGCTAGAGATCATTGTGGTTAGAATCCATTCGGACATGTAGTTCTCACCAATCCTGTGTTTGCTTATTACGAGGGAAAGGGTTCAAGGAGGATTTCCAAACAGGAAGAGTTGCTGACTGAAGAAAAGCGGGGATCACGATAATGATAGAGATGTAACTTTGAATGCTAGAGATCTCTCGGAAAATGACTGAAATTTCTCCTATGATGCCCCGAGGTGTCCTCTGCTTCGTCTCCCTCTCACTCACGATACCCCCGAAATAACTACATGGAAAGGTGCATTCCCCTTATCCATAGTCTCCATTATGATGATGATCAACTTCCTCACACCATATGAGAAAATACGTAACTATACCCCCATGTCCATAATTCCCCCTAACAGTGCCGCATATATTACTGGGGAATCTTGGAATGGACTGATAAAATCACGCTATTTAGTCGCCTTTATTTATCTATAAGAAGAGTGATATTCTATGATTATTGTCAATGCATTGGCCCCTCCTACATATTATTATGTGATACCTAGTTGAAATTCTCTACCGGGCACACTATCCCCAATAGTTATATACACGTCCAGCAAATCCCGGCCTATCATTTCTCCTTCTCTTCTCGATCGGATTCGCATGTTGCTTCCTATTCTCTTCTGCCACCTCTCCCAGTCCTGCAGCATGCCCGGGTTTTCTTTCTTCCACCTCGAGAATAGGATTATGCCAGGGTGACATGGTTCCGACTCAATGCAATGTCGGCGATGTGGATGTGGTATAACGATGACGCGATCATTTAGGTTGGTAGTGCACTGACCTGGGGTGAAGGCTACGGAAGGGTCAACATCTACAATGGCAATCAGGTCCCTTCAGGTCAATCTGCCTCGACCCGTTTGGCTCTTTACAGAATTTCAGTACTGTTTCTCTTTGGAAGGATCGGATACCGACCGATGTCTTCATATACTGACAGATATGCATAAACGTCTTTCGATACCCACAAATATCTTCAAACCGACAAGCATCCATATATATTTACGAGTATTTCCTAGAATATGCAAGATCTAAAGCTATCCTCTATAGGCCTAGGCCAGGAACACACACAAAGAGGAATCAAAAAAATCCCGGTGGGTTTAAAGCATGGTGAACAGTGTGTGAGTGTGAGTGGTTTCCTCTCTCGCTCAATGTATTCCCAAAACCGCAATAAATTACCAGTGATTTATAATTACAGTCCCATAATCATCAAGCCATTATCACTTCCTCCCACTTCAGTCTCATCGCTAACCTGAAATTCCTTTTCACTGCAACCTCAAAAACATACAAGTCTTTTTAACTCCCCAGGGCTATAAGGGGTGGGTAGCGAATATAGTACATACCACATCAGTAACAGCCATGCACATGCAGTGACTACCGACTAATACGTTAGCCTTCTACTCAATCCGCGTCAATATATATTCACGCGCAGAAAATTCTCCCATGTTAGGGTAATCACGCTCCATCACTCGCGTGCCCTCTGCCAGATTAGCCCCCTGTAACCGGGTCCACAGCCCACAGCCTACCATGCTAGCCCAGCTCCTGAAAATGTCCAGGCCGAACCAGCGCTTGGGGAACCATGCAGTGGTAAAGGGGAGGAGGAGGCCTGAGGGGAAGGTGTTGGGGATTGGAGGTTTCCCAATGATACTTGAGTAGCTTTATAACCAAAATTTAATAGTAACTGCAGATGCGCAGATGGTCCATTCGCTCCTTGGAGATATCGTCGAGAAATAGAAAGTAGCACGCCACCTACGATAAACCACCACTCTCGTCGATTTCCACCTGAACTTGAACGTTTTTCATTGCTATTCGCGTATTCCGGGCAGGAGTAGCTGGTAATATCTTTTTTCAGATATCGCACCTTACCGGTAAAATTCGGCGTATATCTGAAGATATCTTCCAACCCCTGAAGAACTTTTACAGAATTCGCGAGCAGCTAAAGATACCTGCTAACACATGTCCAAAAGATCCACCATATCCGCCGCATGCCGAACGCTGCAAAATATAAATACCGGTCAGGGTCGCCCCAATGTCACAATCTACAAAGCGACGCGAAGACGACCAGACAATATATATATATATTATATATATATATATATATATATATACTTTTCCCGGATGATAATAACAGTACCGCTTCTTCATTTCATCAAAACCAAACAACGCTTCTTAAAGATACCCACCCACATCCATATACAAAATTCCAGTTCCCCAACCATTGACGTCACTTTCGCGCACAATGTCGGCTCCCCATAATGTCCGATATGGGCCCTGCTGTTGAGCAATTGTTTGATGATGATGGATGTGTGGTTGAGCATCGGCCTATAAAGAAGATGTTTCTTGCTCCTTTCGAGACTGGTGATAAAGATCACAACCGTGTGAGGTACCATACGAGTGCTCCGTTTCCGGATGTATGATACCCGGTGAGCCCGAGCCAATTGTTGGGGGAGAGGATGATATATCATACCGGTTAAGTTAGAGGTTATAGCACTAAAATTTAGAAGGCAAAGCAGTACAGTGTAGCAGGACCAACACCTGGACCAAACTCCCCAGATCGTCGTAGCACATATACTCCGATTAATATTCATCCTCCTCCTCCTCCTCCTCCTCTACTTCCCACCCTACGAAAATTTCTCCCGTCACGTCAACTAGTTAGCACTCAATAATCACTCTGCTCCGATCCTCCCAAACCCACACACAGAACCCACACACGACGAACACGACCGAACCGGACCGGGAGGGTAACCTAACATCAACAGGCAGGAGAAAAAAACGACGAATCTCCTCACGCCCCGACGCCCCAACACCCAACCAAACCAACGGCAAACTTAAATTCCGGCCACTACCATACCCACCACAAAAGCAAAGCAAACCACAAAAAGGTCTATCCATATGGGTGTCATACGGGAAATATGCATACCCGCCCTACAAACCCCTCCCGATCTCCATCTCCACCCAGCCAAACAGGGCTTTCCCCTCAAACGGGCCATAAACCCCACATTTGCCTTTCCTCGCGCTTTCCGCCCGGATATTTCCCCTCCAAGAAAAGAAAAAGAAAAAGAAAAAGAAAAACCACATGCCCCGCTTCCGGGTACAGTACCTTACTTGTACGAGTAATATAGCAAACCCACCCACAACATTTTCAACCCCTATCATAAAAGCGACGCCAATCTCCAGGCGCGCATGTGCCATACTCGGTAGAGAAGGGCGGAAAAGAAAAGTAAAGGTGATGCAGCACGACGGTAAACAGAGAAATTGGGCAAAGTGATTATTCATGATTTTCCCAAGTCCGCATATTTACCAAGATATGTTATCATAACTCTACTTTACTTAGGGAAGAATTGAGGCAGGCGGACAAAAAAAGGGGGGGAATAAATCTGAGCATTTTTTTCTCTTCGGGAGATGGCACTTTAGAGTACTCGTACTCGTACAAGTATCATAAATGGGGAAAGTCATTGAACTCGCCCAACCAAGTTCAATACCTCATGCCTCGAACCGCACAAACAAAACCACATCTCAAGATACTGTATGATACTAAGGATATTACCCGCCAAGACCGGTGCAACCAAGTCTCCACACCCCACATACACACACTCACCATCTTTTGCTGAATCTTCTTCTTCTCCTCTCCCGCCCTTTTCTAACCACGATGGTAATTTACGGGTGCTATCTTTACTGGGTTATAAGGTTCGGTGTCATATCGC